GAAAGTGGTAATATAAAAATATTTAGGATCTATGAAAGTACAGTCACGCCTACGAATAATATTAAGAATTTTTTTGTTTTCACAACATACTTTTAGGCAGATGATGAAGTAGATTCAAACCTCTAGAGTTTTCTGTGTCACAAAAACCTTGTTGATCACTTATTTCTCTCAAGGTGTCACTCAAAAAAGTACAGTCCCTGTCAGAATGGCAAAGTACAGTTGCCTCCGGGACACTATAATTGACATTCCACCTCTCTCTCAGCCCGAAAGCCAACCGAAAAAGTTTCCTAATCAACGGTCGCTGCACTGCTTTATAATGCAAATGGAAAATTCTATTAGGGCGAAAAGAACGCTTCATTTAATTTACGAGCCAATTTGCCGCCTGTGGAGCAGGAGAGGCGGCGCTTTCGCCCCCTGGAATGTTGACAAATTCCACAATATGTTTTCTACAGAGTTGGTTTGGCCTCCTTTCCCCCCCAAAAAACACTCCCCAGTGCACTATTCGAATTTCGAAAAGCTTGCAGTCTGTCAGCGGCGCTGCAAAGTATGCTTTAATTTTATGACAAAAGCCTCTTCTCCACCATCCCCAATGCTCTTTATTGAAATATTATGCAACAAAGTTGATGAATTTTTAGCCCGACAAACTTCCGAGCTGCACGGGGACTGCGCATTAAGCGAGTCCCGAGTCTCGGCCAGGATAAGGGGATAAGGATAAGAGAGGCCAAGGAGTGTGAGCAATGACTCTTGGCCCTTTTAAGCATTGTATCAGGTGTTTACCAGGCTCACAAGCACAGAGACAGAAAGCCAAGACGCTGAAACGGCAACAAAGGCAAAAAATATTATAATAGCAATTGAGAATTGCTGATGAGCCCTGCCACGAGGCTCAGGACCCTGGCTTTTCGTCCTGACTTTTCGGCGAACTGACAGTTCACAACACTGTGCACTGGGAGAAACTGTGATATTTCATAGAAATACGCAAATAATATGCACTAACAATGGTAAATAAATAAATGCATAATTTAATCGAAATAATATTACCACCATTGTTCTTGATAATATTAAATATCCTAAATATTAAAGCTAAAAAATATAGATGTTTATCGGAAACATCAATGTTTTCTTATCGATTTACAATAAGCGTTTCAGATTTTACTTTTTCCCATGAGAAACATCAATATTATCAATACGGTACTGTGAAAATATCGAATAAATCCATATTTTTCAAGCCAAAAATACTTATAAATTATACTTTTTTAAAAGCAGCCGTTGTTTAGCTAATTTATTTCTACCAGTGCATAAACCCGAGCCGGAGCTCTCTGGTCTTTGCACAGACTTGATGCCGAGGGAGCATTTTAATTATTCAACATTGTTGACAAAGTTTCAACTGCGTGCGTGTGAGCAGGACGGCTGTTGAGCAATATGATTTGCTGCTTGAGCAGTCAAAAGTTGGCCTACAACAACGACAAAAGCGGCAACAAAAAAAAAAGAAATAAAACAAAAACTCGGTCTAGAAAGTGACAGAATGGCAAAAGAGGAGTGTATACCAGCAGTTAGTTGCTCATTTTGGTAAAATCACCCGGGGCAATGAATAGTGATCGAATGGCCATCAAAGGAACCTCAAAAACGAGGTTTAAACTGTTTTAAAAAGTTGGCAAAATAAGAAGGAAACTTCAATTTCCAGCTATCATATCAAGCTCTACTTGAAACATATCGATATTTTGACAGAATTGTATCGATAATATCCATGTTTTATTAAAACTTTGATATTTTTTATAAAGTGTCTTTTCGCCTTGCATCGCCCTTATTCATCCATCGGCCTTTGAGCTTTATTCAAGACCAATTATCATCTTGGCGAAGCTAAATGCTTTAATTAAGCTGGGCCCCCGTTATGGTTATCGTTTATCGTTTCAGTTAACGCCATGGACCAAATTGGTAGCGACTGCAATTTAATTTCTTTACAGCCGAAAAAGGAAAGGGGAAAAAGGTACATGGGCCCAAAAAGCCGGAAATGCAAGACTCAGAAGCTTCAGTTGGGCATTGGCGAAACATTTTTGGTCGACGCGCTTCAATAATTCTGTTTGCCCATTTGCCCCAAACAGCAAAGGGGGTAGCGAGAAAGAGACGGAAAGTGTGTGTGGGTGGCTGGTCGGAAAAAAGAGAGGGCTAGTGGCGGGAAAGAGGGAGACGGAACCGCACACAGAGTGCAGGAGACGCAAACATGTTTCGAGTGGCTTTTGCGGCATTGACGCGAAGACAAAAAAACGCCAAACTGCAGGCAGTGGCAACAAAAGCTGCTGCAGTGGCACAAAGCCCGAAAAAAACAGAATAAGTGGCTCAAACAATAGTTCAGGCCATGCGATACCCAGTTGATAGAGTTGCTGTGAAATTATAACACTTACACCCAGAAAAATTGAGATCGGAAAAAAGAGAATATCAAGTTTTCTCAATTTGAGAAAAAATGTTCTTGAAATCAAGATCCAGAAATAAAGAGAAAATCGGTCTTAATTTTAGTTCCAAATACAGTGCTGTCGGCTTACAAACCCAGACCATTCATGAGTCATGTGAAAAATTACAATGCAATTGTTTGCCATTCCCATACCAACCATACCACCACCTACACAGCCCAAAAGTCAAACCAAAGCCAAGCAAATGTGGCAACGAAACGAAACCTACACAAAACGAAATGGAATGGAACGCCGGCCGGAAGTGCGGGAAGAAGAGGAGCCAAAGAGCCGCAGAACACTCACAGACTGCCTGGCGTCGCCAGCGCCATCGTCATCGTCATTTTCATTTCCAAGTGGCGCGGCGGCCATTATCGATTAAAAAAGTTCAGTAGTGTGCTGTATATAACAGGAGGTCAGGTGGAGTTTACGCATACACAGAGAAAAATACACAGTATTAATTTAAAAACTTGTGTATTTTACACTCACAAAGAAGAATTCGCGTGTGCCCAATACAAGATAGGCGTGTGACCGCAGTTCTTCCTTAAAAACATTAATATTGTGAAAATATCGAACCTATCGACAATTTGCAGCTCCATTTTAAAACCCATAACTCAAAGCACATAAGTGATATTGCAAACTCTAGTGGATTTTTCTTTCCCTGTAAAAGGCATAGGTCAATGGTTCAAAAAGGGGGCGATGGTGCACTTTTTCTGATTAACTGTTGCATAATTTTCGGGGCTGCGGTTTTCCTTTGTGAAGGCCGGCCTGCTAATTGAATTTGCATGACAAATCAGGGCACTCACTCGAATGAATAACGAATTGTGAATGCGAATATGAATGGTGGTGGTGGAACGAAGTGAAGGAGGGGATGTATGGAGGCCTGAAAGTTACTTAAAAACGTGTGCACGGCACACGAGCCCCAAAAGGAGCACAAACAAATGGCGAGAGGAAAAGTAGAGGGGGCTTCACACACAATAGACTTGCATATTTAAGCACGACACTTATACATATGTATGTGATTCCGACTCTGACTCCTTCTTTTCGGCAGCATTTCGGTAGCGAGTCAAACAATGAGGCTTTTGTATGCCACAGCGCGTTTGCCTTTTTGTTTTTTTTGTATTCCTGCTGCCCTCACAGAGGAAGACACGCATATGCCACATACGTGGTCCATTGTTTGTATTGAACGCAAGGAGCCAGGGGATGCGGAGAAAGGTGGGGAAAGGAGAAAGCACAGAGAAAGGCAAGCGAACTCTCGACTGAGGCGTTTTCATTTGCGCTTCAAATCTAAGAATAATAGCCGCCTTGATTACATTCACGCCGCTTTATGACAAGCGAGAAAAAATGAGTGGGGCATGAGGAGGAAAGTACATGTCGGCGGCGAACAAAAACAATGAAGGTGGAGGAAGGGGAGGCACTGTGAAGCAAGTGATGGAAACCGATGACATCGATTAATAACCGAGTAAACAGATTGATTTATAAGTAGAAAATCAGTTTCTAAAACTAAAATTAAGCTTTTAAATTTATAATCGATATTTTGATTATTAATTAATATCGATTTTTTCGATAAGCTATCTAATAAAATGTATGCTGCTCTGTAACTCACAGAATTACACACTTGGAAGACCATAACATCATATCATTTCATTTCCATGAATTAAAAATTAAAAGTTCTAAAATCGATAAAAGATAACTCTTAACGATTGACAATTACATTATGGATAAATATCGATTTTTACAAGTATATCTTATTATACATCATAAATCTTATTGACAAATGATCAAAAGCGCTTACAAAGGATAACAATTTATAAATATATCGATGGCTACCTTTGCCCCACTGTGCTCCTTCAGTTGGCCTCAAATGAAAAGAAATGAAATTAAGTGGCATGTTGTTGCTTGTTCGCCTGAGCATGGAAGGATGTGGGAATGTGGCCACGCATGACCAACTTGCAATCACCCCACTGCCACCCACAAACAGACGTCCTCTGCCTGCCACTTGAGCTCTACACTGTAAGCCTGTTAAACATTTCGAGTGTTAATTGTGTGCGAACAACAATAACAGAGGGCATATATGTGGAATGCGGGTGTGGAAAATGAGATTGGAGGCTGGAGACGACTGACAGGCGGTCGTGATTGGAGCCAGCCATGCCAAAGGTTGTTTCTTGCAATATTAACTTGTGTTCTTCATACTCAAAAGGATACGTGGTTCAAGAGGATTGGGTATTGAGATTATTATATCAATGACCCTCGACACTACAGAATCTCTCGATTAAAACTTAATTTGAGTGCGAAGTTTTGGATCGAAAAGCTATATTTCTAGCCATGTACGTCCGATAAACGCTGATTTAAACGCTCTTAACTCGGAAACTACAAAAGCTAGAAAGAAATTGTAAAAACATTTTGGTTCTACTTTAAAATACCCATCAAACTCTGCTAAAGGCTGTTTTAATTGGACTCTCCAAGCCATAAACTTTTGCGAAACCGTAGCGAATGCTAATCTTCATGGTTTTTCGGTTTGGCTTTTGGCTTTTCGCACACATTACTTGTACGAATGAGATGGCAACCACAGTGGAGTCGTCGTCGTCGCCGCTGCATCTGATCCTCCTTGCGAACGCGTTGATCAGATGCGGAGCATATGCACTAGCTCAGGGAACGAGAGTGCAGCAGGAGAACTTTGGCTATGTGCTGCAGATCTACGATCCAAAGTTCCTGGCGGCCGGTTCCTTGTTCAGTGCCCGTTACATTTTGACGGTGGCTCACTGTTTTCGCAGTAACACCAAGCCGGAGGAGCTGACAGTGCGAGCGGGTTCCGAGTGGATATCGAGGGAGTTTAGGGGCAAGCCAGTGGCGGGATTGCAGCGCCATCCGAAATTCTCGCCCCTAACGCTGCGCAACGATATTGCCGTGCTGCGGGTCAAAGTGGCCATTGGATATTCGCGTCGCATCAACTATATAGCTCTCTGTTCGGCGCCCTTGAGACGCGATAAGGGCGCCAATCGTTTGACGATCGCCGGTTGGAATCTGGTGAATATCAGCCAGCCGCTAAAATCGCTTGAAGTCAGCGTGGAGATGGAGAAAAACTGCCGCCTTTGGTTTCCCCAGCTGCCGGGCGGCGTGTCCTGCGCCTCGTTTGCTGCGGGAAACGGCGATGGTTTATGCTATGGCGACTCCGGGGATCCCCTGATCACCGCCGGCGGTGGTGAAATCTGTGGCCTGGCAATTGCCTTTCGGAGATGTGGCGACAAGCGATATCCCGCCCTCTTCACCGATGTCCACTACCATCGGCAATTCATCGCCCAAGCCGTACTCACATTGGACAGGGAAATGTTGAAGAGGCCAAGGGGTTGAACTCTCTTTATACGTGATCCATTATGGTTTAAAAAACTCACCTGCAAGGAAACAGACAGAGGAAAATTCAATTACAATCGAGTGATGAACTGATATTAAGAGGCGCAGATGAAAGATTTAATTATAATAATTATAATAATAAAGTATTGTGAGAAAATATTTTTAAAATATAAGTTGTCTCAATTTCAGAAAAAAGGTTTCTAAGTTTCAAGAAGAATAATTCTTGGATTCAAGCATAAGCCTTCTCGTTTTTAAGAGTAAGCGCTCTCGTTTTCAAGAGTAAATCGTTCTCGATTTTTTCGTTCTCTAGTTTTCTCAGTGTAGAGTCCTGAATGGCACAATTATGTTTCACCTAACCAACTCATATTCTTTTTTCAAACTTAACGACAGTTTCCCTTTATGCATTCCCGCTTCTTGCCTTTTATAACTTCCATTTTCCATTCCCAAAGGCAAATCAATTTGCGCTTTACATAAAAATTCAACAAAAGAACCCAAGTTCGAGTTGGTTTGTTAAGGAATTGGAAAATGGAAGGGGAGTTGAGTTGAGTTGGTCGCTCGAAAATCACGACACATAACCCATTAACCCGCCGGTGCCCAACTGTGCATGTGAAATGAACGGAGACGGAGACGTCGTCGACGATGACGATTTCCATACAATTTTCCTTGCGTTTTTCCATTTTCCTCCTTTTTTTCGTTTTGTTTTGTTTTTTGTTGTATGCCTCCTGCCCTGCTAAAGGAACAACATTTAATGAATTCATATGTTTAATAAAATCTACACGTGAACATGAATATACAACGTGGCAGCGAGGAGCGCACAAAAGGACAACCTGAATCCGGCGAATCCTGTGAGTCCTGAGCACCACGGTGTACAAAAGTATGCAACACAAATGGGAAAGAGGAAAAAACGCGGGAGGCTGGCAGGCAGAATGGGGAGGGCTTCGCTTCACAGCGGATGGAATAGCAGTTTCTTTTTGAATAGTTTGACGATGACAACGACGATGACGATGACGGTGACGACATGTTGACGTCATGTCGCCTAGTCTACTCTACTCAATGGAGAATCAAAGGAACGGAGAGGACTTGGCTTCTTGGCCAAATTAAAATCATATTAAATTTGCATATTGCGCCAAGGTGTCGTCATAAAGTGACGTCGTGTGTGTGTGCGAAACATTGTTATCGGTTATCGGTTTAGCGACAGGTGTTGCATAATGGGCCACGCCTGGCGGAGCTTATGGAAATACCCATTTAAAATTCACAATCGCAACAGGGAAGCAGACGAGATCTTAAAAGTATGAGGAGGTCGCACTTTATTTAGTTTAAAATGATAAAGAGAATATAGTGAAATCGATAATTGTTATATTAACATAACGGGTCTATCGATACAGATTCACGATAATTACATAAATCGAGTTTAATAATCCTCTAATCAATATAACTTAACAATGGGACAGGCAGCTCATGATTTTCGTTTTAATTGCCCTAAATTCTATTGAAATCATTTCGAACACGCAGCAGGTCTTGTTGTGCCAATCGTCTTTCGATTGTTTATGCCAATCATCGATAGATTATTCATTGCCTCTCAGCACGTAGTGCTCGAGCCCAGGCCACAAAACTAACTGGACCAACAAATCAACTATAGTATTGTGCCCACCACCTCTCGCTACCGCAAGACAAATAAATCTCTCACACACACACTGAGACACAAAAGTTTTCAACGAAATTCTCGAGACCACAAAACTGTCGAAAAAATACAAACACTTCCAGTGACCCAATCTCTAAAAATAAACAGAGCGAGCAAGATGGAGGAAAAGTCATCCTGACGACTGATGTCGGAGGTGGGCGGTTGGAGGTGAGAAAAAACTGGCGTAGGAGGTCTGAAAGTCGGTCAAGTTGCGTTGTCAGAGAAGCGGAGAAAGAGGAGGAGAAAGTCGGTCGGTCATCCAATTGGCAATTGTGATAAATTGTACTTTTAAGCAATTTAAACCCGGGGAAAAACACAAACAGACAGAGAATCCAGGATCGCGTCAGTCCCTCGTCAAAATCTGTGGGAAAGGGGCTAAAAAGGTTTGTTTCCTGGCCAAGAATTCCATTCTATATATTCCCATTTTCCCGGGGAATGCCCCTCTGGTATGTAAAACTTCTTTACTAATAATGCCTCAATTGTTTGCCTCATTCCTGGGGTTTCCTGGGGAGGGGGCTAAAAAGGATTGTCCACTTTCCACCCAACATCCAAAAAAAAAAAAAAAAAAAAAAAAAAAAACAAGAATAAGAAAACAACATACACACATGTAACACATTACCCTAGTTAGGGATATCTTCTTCCCCCATCCCACCCAGGGTTTATTTCCCTCTTGTTTTGTCTTTTTTCCCTCGTATTTTTCCTTCTTTTTTCGGTATCTTGAGTATTAATCCTAATTGAAGGGAAATCCCCTGATGGACACGCACTCTTTTTCGGGCGAGAGTGGCAACCCTTTTTTCTGTGTGTTTTGTTTTTTGAGTTAGTCTGTGTTCTTGGCTATTTTACGGCTCTTGCCCTTCTTTTTTTTTTTGTCTAGTTTGGCTTTCATTTTCGTTCGTACGGAGCTGAAAAGTGGACTAAGGGCTTAAGCATATGTATCTCCCAGGGGGGAAGAACAACCAACCAGCATGTGCGTATGAATAGATCCTAAATTTCCTCATACCCTGCTTCATTCCTTCAATCAAAAATCGTAGAAAACTCTGGCCCGTATCTTATGTAATTACAAAGGCGAATCTAACTGGCTAAAAGCGTAAGATGGTCAAAAGAGCGGAGCAGCGAAGAGGGCTAGGGCCAAATAAAAAATGCTCAAATAGACATTTAATGATTCCCCATTGTCATTACATAAAGGTGACTTATAAAAACATTATATCACACGCACACGACGACGAAGGTAAAGCGGGGGAAACTCTGAGGAGGAAATGGCCTGGCCAACGGGAAAAGCATGCGGGCCGAGCTTATTTGTTGCCACGCAGGCATTTCATGTTGGCTAACGACCACTTTGGGCATACTACGCTCCCATTTTCTCATTTTCCCGCTTTCACCGACTCTGCTTATCTGAAAAGAAGAGTAGGACATATTAAAAGCCAACACACAGAGGTAACTTTCGGTGTGTTTCGGGCATGTTTTATTCTTTTCGACTGTTCAACATTTTTGTAGAATATTTAGCTTGGCAGGTGAAAAAAGAATGTGCTTACAGACAAATAAAATATTTATAGAATTTATTTAAAGCAAGAAAGAAGAACGCTATGATTTTATGCAAGCAGTAAATCGACTGCTTGCACTGCTTGCATTCCATTTTTCTCATAACTCTTTAATGAATGGTCATATTTCAAAATTTTCTTCTATATTTCAATAGGTATCAAACCACGCAACAAAATGGCGTTTAAACTTTGTCTTTATAGATGTTAGTAACGGGCATATTAAAGATTTATTGTAAATCTATTTGTTAAATCAGGTGTCATATCATCATACAAAATACTCTTTTATTCTCATATAACTTTTAAGAAAACTTAAAGGCATCATTGATGATTTTTGAACCGAATAAACTCTGCTTTTCCTCTTGAAATCAAAAACCAAATCAATTTCTCGAGTGCTTCAAATTATTGGCACAGGATTCTTGTTTGACTCTCATCAGAGCAGAAGAAAAAGTACATTGTCCTGTCTCGATTGTCCTGTTTTCCCAGCCATAACTGTACTCTTGAAAATCTTTGGCCATCTCTCGTCTTGTTTCACTTGAAAGTTTGAACGAACTGAAGAAGTTTGCTCTGACGACGACCACAAGAGGAGTTTTGTGTGTGTTTGCTGTTCTGACTGCGACCAATTCGATTTAAGTTCCGTTCCTTTGCCTATTGAAAGTTTACTTTGAGTTTGTGTTTGTCGTTTGCATTGACTTCCTTTTGCTGTTGGTCCCCGTTCTTTGTGGCTTCCTTTAGACCCTAAATATTTGGAGTTTTCATGGGCTTTACACTTTTTTGAGGTTCTTCATTGAACCTTTGATTTTCGCATAGTCAATACAATGTTTTCAACTAAACTTTTACCATGTGTATGGTAAAGAAAATGATATTTGATCCTTGCTTGTCATTTAGAGCTTCAAAATTATCGATATTTTCGATATTTTGACAATATCGATTCGATAATATCAATGTTATGATATTTTTTCAAGCTGTATTGCCCAAATTTGCACACTTATTTTCTGAAATTCTTAATATTTCCGTCTGGATATTTCTTTCCTGCAATCCATCGGTGTAATACACTTTCAACGAGTCGCTCTTTTTGCGGCTGGTTGGGTAGGTAAACAATGAAATGTCCGCATATTTGGCACCATTACTCAAATTGCCATTATGCACGCGCTTCGCCTTCGCCTCGAATTGTGCCAACCAGTAATCGAGCTTCCCGCTCTCCAATTTTCCACCATTATGGCGGCCACAAATGCAATGCAGTGGAGTTTTCCCCCACCTCCCCTTCCAGTTCGTTTTTCAAACGGCAATGCGACAATCGCAGGTGAAAAGGGGAAAGGGGAGAGAGGGTGAGAGGAACAGAGGTAACCGCAACCGCATCGAGCGCTGCATTTTTCCGCTTTTCCCCCTTTGGCACGTGTGCCGACGAGAGTTCATTATCGCCTCTATATGGTATATATACTATATATATATATGGAAACTATATGGAACAGGGTTGCCCACTCACATTTGCATTGGCATTTTCTATTGCCATTTTCTTTCTCGGTTTTGGGGGCACATTACAATTTAAATTGTTCGCATGCGGCCGGCAAAACTTGTCGCATATTATTTATGGGGGAAGCCCCTCTATTTTCCCGCTTTTCCCTCTGTGTGTGTGTCTGTGTCGCTCTCGGCTTAAAAATGTTAAACAAGCAAAAAGCTTTGCATACATTTCGGGGCTCAGGATACGGGATACGGGATCCGAAATGGAGGACCGCACGCTGTGTTTGCGGACTAGGCTCAAGATTTATGGCTTTGCGACAGGCGGAGCAGACAGACAGGCGGACAAACGAAACGGACGGACGGACAAACGGACAACGGACAGGCGAAACAGA